ACTATTGCGACACACCAGCCACAGGACTCATCCCACCAGGTTTCGCCTATGCCTATGATGTCGTAGCTGTAGGACTGGGCCAAGACTTCTAGCTTGTCCATTTTATTCTTCATACTGCGTGTTTGTGTAGAAGCACTTCAAATGCGCCTCTCTACACGCAGCACCTTGTGGAGCAGACCAAAAGACTTTACTAGCACACAGTCCCTCTGATTCTAGCACACCATCCCTTAGCTTATCACTGGCGTGCCTGTTTTTTTTCCCTTTCCCCCTTCGACTCTAGTTTAAAGCCCTATCTATCAGCCCTGCCAACTCCTGAGCAAAAATCCTTATCCCTCTTTGAGAGAGGCATGTCCCATCTGGTGACAGCAGGCCCGGTGTCGTGTAGACCTTCCCATGATCGAAAAACCCAAAGTTCTGCCTGTTGCACCAGTCCCGAAGCCACGTATTAATGTGATGAGTCTGCTTGTCAACATTGATCCCCCCTATCGGAAGGACAGAGGCAAACACGACCTGTGCCCCTGAACCTTTAACTAGTTTCCCTAAAGCCCTAAAGTCCCTTTTGATCGCTCTCGGACTTCTCGTTGCTACCTTGTCATTACCAGCCTGAAAGACCAGTAGCGGGTAGTAGTCGGTCGGCCGTACCAGGTGCATGACTTTCTTAGCTAAGTCTCTCATCCAAGCCCCAGGGATGCAACAGACTTCCCTGTGGGTTGGGTCCAGTCAGCATTTTGGGCCCTCTGTCCCTTTCAAAAGGGAGTCCCCCATGACAATAACCCTTCTTTCTTTCTTGACAGAAGATGTAGCAATGCAGGGAGTAGGTTGCCTTGCCTTAGGCACCCTCTCCAGCTGGGACAGGCTTTTGTCTACATCGTTGTTCTGACAGTCGTGTTCTAGAGCCTTTATCTGTGAAAGCAACATAAATGACGCTCATGACGTATGTCTTGACACTGAGAGAGGTGTTTGGCACTTTGAAATTCATCCAAATACTAGTCAAAAGACTGTGCTTATATATTGGTCAAGGCTGTCCATGTTTAAGAACTGCTTGTGCTTTTGTAGAAGTAGATAAGGAGAATATAACTCTCCCTAGCAAAAACCATTCTAACTTTTGAATTTGTAACTTTGTTAGAATTGTCAGGTGTTATTTTTATATTTGGCACCAGTGGTATCCCACCAGTTGATCAAGTCTAACAATACAATGTAAACAAGATGCTAGTCATCACTGGTGGGATACACTTTTCGGCTGGTCGCCAACGGCAAATGGCATTCTCAATACATTGTGTCACTCGATCATAGTCATATTGATCTTAGTAGGTATAAGTCTTGTATTGTCTGTAATTATACTAATCTGGAACTGGAGAATGTTATACCAGATAGCCATGCTGACTTCTTTGTCGCAAGTCCATGGTATGGCATTAAGTTATCAGTACCAAGTTGGGAATCTTTGCTGTGAGTAAAAGAATTTACTAATCTTCTAGAAAAGGGGGGACTGAAGCCAGGGATAGAAGAATGGGGGCTTGCTTAATCACTTTAAAATAGATATAGTTGAGCGTCTTTGCTTACTACTGTGCAAATTAACCAAAACAAGGAGTCTCCGAGCCCCTCACAGAAGATGTTTCCTGACAAAAATGGGGAACCTGTCTCAAAAACCAGCTGAGACTGACCTTGTGGTTTGGACAAGAGCCAAGGAACAGCTGAGCCTGTACAAAGGCAGGGGGTCAACTAGTGGTGATGAAGAGGAGTTATCGGACTTCATCCCCACGACCCCCTGACAACCACCACTAGAAGGCACTGCGCAGGCGCAGATCAGAGGAGTTTATGGAAATGACTTCTTGGAGCTAATTTTAATACAAAGCGGGGATAGTTTATGAATATGTACAGGCGTATTGGGAAACTTCATGCATATGTAACTTTTTATTGCATATAACCAAAGCAAGTTGCCGCATTAAGGTGAACATGCCTTTGGGAGCTATCCCGCATGCGCCTGGTGCCGAAATAAACCACATACCTACTTTATAACTTATTTGCTTTGAGTTACAGAGTTCTTCCACGAATCGAATGGAGCTTCTTCTATTCCTCAGGACATGCTGGAAAAAAATAGAACGTGGACAAAGGCCTTCTAGCATAAAGGAATTACAACCAGGATTGGGAGCTTTAAGTTATTGGTGCAAACACATCCCAGGTTTTGCTATTATTGTGCGCCCTTTGTGTAATCATGGGAATGGACTGAACAACACACCAGTGCATTAGAATTGTTAATCAAGGAATTGAGGTTGTTCCAGCAGCTTGGTCCCATACACCCGACTGACCCTATTTACGTGGAATGGGGGTTCAGTGAACATGCCTCTCATTGTAACCTATGGCAAAGGGTGCCAGAAGTACCAGAAAGATCACTAGAGTTTACCTCCCACTCTTTTAGTGATACTGAAAGGAGATACTCAGATCTTGAGAAGGGTTTATTGCCCCTAGTGCAAGCAGTAAAATGGGCAGAACAGATAAGGAGAAAGCAAAATGTGATCGTCCGGGGACCTTTCCTTCTCCTGGACATAGTCCGTAAAGGAACAACACCACCTGCTGGCATTGCTCAGAAACCAACGATTCGTAAATGGTATGCCTATCTGGAAGGTATTAATGAAATTATGCCATTCACCGAGGGTAGTACTAAAATATCTAAACTACAGAAAGACATAGATAGTACCCTCTTGTTCCAGTCTCTACGAACTAAACCATCCCCAATTCAGGAAGCACCTCCAGGAGTGTGGTTTACAGATGCCTTGTCCCATAGGGAGAACAATAAGTGGAAATACAAAGCTGTGGCACTGGAAGTAGCAACAGGAGAAAAACTGATTGAAACAGGTGAAGGCAGTGCACAGGTTGGGGAACTTAGAGCAGTTCTATTAGCTGCACAACACGGTGCTACCCATATCTATACTGACTCATATGCTGTTTTTAAAGGAGCCACCAAGTGTATAGGCCACTGGACAGTTAGTGATTGGCAGGTGAACAGTGTTCCAGTCAGGCAAACTGAAACTTGGAAACAACTGTTAGAGATAGGAAAACAGCGAACACTACATCTAGGATGAGTGAAAGGACACGATCAGTCAAACTCCATAGCTGCTCAATTTAATCAGCACGTGGACAGCCTCACATGGTTGCGAAAAATTGATGTTACCAATGATAACCAAGAATGGGAATGTTTACTCGAATGGTTACATGTTAAGTGTGGCCACACCGAACGGGCTGATTTGTACCAGGAAGGTATAGCCCGAGGATAGCCTATATCAGTTAAATTGTGTGAACAGGTGGTGACTGACTGTTCCCAATGTCATTTATGGCTTAACAAAGACCATCCGGATAAGGCGCTCCCCCCCTTGCACATTTGGGACAGGAAAATGTTGTGGCACTCCTGGCAGATTGATTATATTGGCCCATTGTGACCACTGGATGGAAAAAAGTATATTCTAGTAGGAGTGGAGGTTATATCTGGTCTCACTATGGTGTCCTGGTTTCAGTTAGAACAGAATTAATTTTCTTCCTAGTAGCTGGTGGAATGCTGTGTTTTGGCTTAGGATGAGAAGAGTGCTGATAACACCCCGATGCTTTAATTGTTGCAGAGCAGTGCTTATACTAAGCCAAGGACATCTCAGCCTTTTGCTCTGTCCTGCCAACGGGCAGGCTGGGGGTGCAGTAAGAGCTGGGAGGGGACAGACCCAGGACAGGTGACCCAAATTAGCCAAAGGGGTATTCCATACCATCTGACGTCATGCTAAACAATATATAGGGGTGGCTAGCCGGGGGGAGGGGGCCGGACTGCTCGGGGTTAGGCTGGGCATCGGTCAGCAAGTGGTGAGCAATTGCATTGTGCATCACTTGTTTGTACATATTATTATTACTTTCCTATTATCACCATTGTATTATTATTATTATTATTATTATTATTGTTATTATTGTTATTATTGTTATTATTGTTATTATTTTTTTTGGTATTATTATTTTCCTGTCTTATTAAACTGTCTTTATCTCAACTCACGGGCTTCACTTTCCATTTCTCTCCCCCGTCCCAGAGAGGGAGGGGGGGAGGGTGAGCGAACAGCTGCGTGGTGTTTAGCTGCCGGCCGGGTTAAACCACGACATATGGCTGCTGCTTTTACATCATAATTGCACTTAATTGCATTGTTCCTAGCCGTGATAGTTCTCATTGAATGAGACTGGAGTGAGGGTGTGTTATGTTGTTGGTGAATCCGTCGCCATGATAGTTCAGTATTCTGAATCTGACCGGACCCATATCGGTTAATACGTTATTGATGAATCTGTGACCGTGACAGTTCAGTATCCTGAATCAGACCAGACCCGTAACAGTTAATCGGCTACACTCCCTTAACGCAATACCTTCAAAGAAGGGCAAGCAGCATAGAAAAAATAACATTGTTTGAAAATATAACTGATATTCAAACATAGCAGCATAGAAAAGTATCAGAAATGACAAAAAAACAAAGCTCAGACCAGCAGCAAGTTACAGCAGCATTGGTAGTTGTGTCACTTGTGCTGTTATAACCAAGGTATCATTGCTAAATTTAGGAGTAAACATTTTGATGGCAAAAATTGCATCCCTTGATTACCTATGGTATGTTTAGACCCGTTTATTTCACTGAAGCATCTAAGTTCCTAACAGCCTGAGGTGTTAAAAAGTCAACATATTAAACTACACAACTGAAAACATTATTTGTAAAGCAGTCAAAGAAGGTTACCTCCCATTTCACAGTATTATTTGTTCTGGATGGTGTACCAATTTGCTCTTCTACAGTGGAACACTCTGGAGACTTGACAGAAAAGGAAATATGGGAAATTTTTTCATGCCAAGCCTATCAGAAAATACAGAAGGCTAAGAAGCAGCACTTTAAGACAACTGTATTTTAGCAGTAAAGGACCACCAACTCTTTTGATGAACAAAAATAGAAAGTTCTATTTCTCTGAGAAAACTTTAACAATTTTATTTTGTTCATTTTGTTCACAGGAATAAAATCATAACCGCTTACAAGTTATTTTAATTGTATACAAACTCTCTTTAGAGGTACACTTAAAACCCTCCAATAAAGGGGAAGCATAACTTCTCAATAGCAAGTTAAAAGTCATTAAGTACATTGGGGATGAAATATTAAATGTCTATAATTGCAGCACCCTCTTCATTCAGTGTGCAACTCCAAACACGAGGAAAGAAACCAGTGTACAGTACTAATACTGTTTAAATGACATAAGATTATACATTGCAGCATAAATAACAGTACATACATACACTCTTGGTACATGTTGGAATATATGTTTTCAAACAGAAGCACACCCAGTCAGAAGCACACTCCACGCATCCTCTCAAACAAACACACAGACACACACCATTTGTGCCCATTCACAGTATCTGAAAGTAGATTACTATGTTGTTTGGAGCTAGCACTTTTTATAAAAGCATATGCTAAAAGATCACGTCCACTGTACTCTTGCAGCATCACTCAGAATGATCACACACACACAAAAAAAATGGAAAAGTTAGTGCACAAACAAAATTAAGCTAAAAAAAAGTCTGGAGTTCCAATCAAATGGTTAGTATAGCAATCCCACAATTGTGAAGACTAACTATAAGCTTTATAATCGATTAAGTTGCACAGTGCAAAGAAAGGTCCATTGACTCTTTTTGTAAAGGGAATTCTGGAAGCTACATGGGTAAGTTCAATGGACAGTTCATACATGCACATGACTAGGAACACCCAAAGTAGATTTGTACTCTTAGATTAGTCATTCTGAATCACGATGCACTTCTGAAGCATCAGCTCTACAAATTGGGCAGGTACGATTTGCCTGTAAAACCAGAAATAAAGTTTAATGTACGGACAAATACACTTGTTAAGGTAACTGCGTCTGAAACACAGAAACAAAATGAAATTGCCACTCTCAGTGATCGAGAGTACCCAAAGGGGACAATAAAAAAAATAAACCCTATGTGTGCCCTTTTTGCATTACTTTAGAATATGTGAAAATGACCTGATAGGTTTATAAACTCAAAGTTATGCTATTGAAAAGAAATATACAGTGGGCAGAGAAACCCACCGCCACCAGAGAAGCAAGACAAAGGTAGAAAAAGGTGTCCTATATTAGGGTACACTAGTCTTACTAGCTCTATTTGTCATGAATTACAGCTTTTTAGGCTCTCACTACCCCATTATCCAAGTAGAAGAGCAGAAGTCTACCATGCAGGCTTGGCCAAAGCTAGAAAGCTAAGCTGAGGGGAGGGGGAAGAGGAGGGTTTTTATTAACACACACAACACAACACATAGCCTGACTAAACAGCTTCAAAGCTCGCCTTGTGTAAAAGGTTTAAGTTTAGACCTTCCGTGAAAAACTTGTTCATAATGCACCAATTCATGAAATAATTCATGTTGGAAAGAACCTCCTGCTCAAAGCAGGGTCAGCTGTAAGGTCAGACCAGGTTACTTAGGGCTTTCTCCACTTAGGTCCTGAAAATATCCAGGATGGAGGCTGCACATAATTTCTGAACCCCTGTTCGACTAATTGCTCTTATTTATTTCATGAAATTAATTCCCCTTTGCATCTTAACATAACTGGTGCAAAGATGATTAAGGTACACATAATAATAATGCATCATATGCTGCAATGTGTATGCTCTCTTAACTTCAGGCAAACTAACTTTCTGTAACATAAGAACACAGAGCTGCACAACAAAATGAAATTATCATAAGAAATATTAAAAAGAAATTTTATAGCTGAACTGAAATGCATTTAGAAGAAAAGGATTTACAGTGTCATTAAAATTTTATCAAAACCTTCTTGGCTATAAAGCCAAGCTTCTTGGCTATAAAGCCATCAAAACTAAGATGTGCACCCTAGATTATAGTTAGTATTTACTTTTTTTCTGAAATGCGCATGATATTTCCTACTCTAAGTACTCTCAATCATTCATGATACATATTAAAACAGTTATTTTTTTACTTGCCCCAAGAACTGAAATTCATAGTGATGGGATGGATTCTGATAGGAGTGCTTTCTACCAGTGAAGATCATTCTCAAATTCCTTTAAAAATGACCCTATTCCAAATATTATTAGAAATATATATCTTTTGTTAATCACAAAAAAATAATATTTCTATAGTGTAGCAAAAAGAAGATAAATCCAGCTTCTGCATTTTTTTTGTTACTTTGGAGCCTAAATATTAAAAATGAGAAACAAGAGGTGAAATGCAGCATAAAATTAAAGAAAAACAGAAACTACAAACTAGGACATTATAAATTGCATCCAACACAGATTTTATTTCATTTACCTTAAGCCATTTATCAACACACTTGGCATGAAACTCGTGGTTACAGGGTAAGACTCTAAGTAGCTGCCTTGACTCAAAGTCACACATACACACTACGCACCTAAAAAAAATAAAGCAAATATCTTTAAACTTTCCAATTTCATAACAATAATTTAAATTCTATAGGCAACTTTGCTAAGCCACTATTGATCATATTTGAGAAGTTGTGGTAGTCCGGTGAAGTTTCCACGGACTGGAAGAGGGGAAACAACCCCCATTTTAAAAAGGGAAAAATAGGAAGACCTGGGAAACTACAGGCCAGTCAGTCTCACATCTGTGCCTGGCAAGATTATGGAGCAGATCCTCCTGGAAACTATGCTAAGGCACATGGAAAGTAAGGAGGTGAATGGTGACAGCCAACATGGCTTAACTAAGGGCAGATCGTGCCTGACAACTCTGATGGCCTTCTATGATGGAGTTACAGCATTGGTGAGTAGGGGAAGAGCAACAGACATCATCTACCTGGATTTGTGCAAAGCATTTGACACTATCCCCCCTGATACCCTTGTTTCTAAATTGGAGAGACATGGATTTGATAAATGGGCCACTTGGTGGATAAGGAATTGTCTGGATGGTCGCACTCAAAAAGTTGCGGTCAATTGTTCAAGGTCTGAGTGGATATCAGTAACGAGATGTGTTCCTCAGGGGTCAGAATTGGGACTAGCACTGTTTAACATCCTTGTTGGTGACATGGACAGTGAGTACATGCATGAAGAGTGCACCTGCAGCGAGTTTGCTGATGACACCAAGCTGTGTCATGCAGCTGACACGCTGGAGGGAAGACATGCCATGTAGAGGGACCTTGACAGGATTAAGAGGTGGGACCATGCGAATTTCATGAACTTCTATAAGGCCAAGTGTGAGATCCTGTATCAGGCCCAGGCAATCCTAAGCACAAATACAGACTGGGCAGAGAATGGGTTGAGAGCAGCCCTGAGGAGGACCTGGGAGTACTGGTGGATGAAAAGCTCAACATGAGCTGGCAATGTGCGCTTGCAGCCCAGAAAGCTAACCATGTCCTGGGCTGCATCAAAAGAAGTGTGGCCAGCAGGTCTAGGGAGGTGATTCTCCCTCTCTAGTCTGCCCTCATGAGACCCCATCTGGAGTACTGTGTTCAGCTCTGGGGCCCCCAGCACAAGAAGGACATAGGTGTATTAGAATGAGTCCAGAGGAGGACAATGAAGATGATCAAGGGGTTGGAGCACCTCTCCTATGAGGAGAGGCTGAGGGAATTGGGGTTGTTCAGCCTGGAGAAGAGAAGGCTCCAGGGAGACCTTATAGCAGCCTTCCAGGGGGCCTACAGGAAAGCTGTGAAGGGACTCTGTCAGGAAGTGTAGTGATAGGACAAGGGGGAATGGATTTAATTAAAAAAGTGTTGGATTAGACATTAGGAAGAAATTCTTTACTCTGAGGGTGGTGGGGCACTGGAACAGGTTTCCCAGAGAAGCTGTGGATGCCCCCTTCCTGGAAGTGTTCGAGGCCACGTTGGATGGGGCTTTGAGCAACCTGGTCTAGTGGGAGGTGTCCCTGCCAATGGCAGGGGGGTTAGAACTAGATGATCTTTAAGGTCCCTTCAACCCAAACCATTCTATGTCTCTATGATTCTATAACTTATAAGGTACGTCTGCAAAAGTGTTTTGTTTTTTTTTTCTTTTTTTAACCACTGGAGTATCTACAGCAATCAAACTTTTGTGGGTATAGCTCTTGTATACCAGTGTAAAATGAGAATTACTTTTTGATTTGTTCACCATGGGTTCAAATCCCAAAGCAGTCATGGGCTCAAACTCATACCCACAAGAGTTCACTGGCCCTAGTAGTAAATATATTGTATTACCATAATTCAAATATTGGAGTTAATATAATATAATATAATATAATATAATATAATATAAACATCTGTTTCAGTTTTGAGTTTAATTTTAGCTATATTACAATAACAAAATTACAAAACAACAGAAAACCAGATCTGAGTATTTTTCAAAGCCATAATTGAATAAATCACAGAATCATGGAATCACAGAATCACAGAATTGTAGGGGTTGGAAGGGACCTCAAGAGATCATTCGGTCCAACCCCCCTGCCAAAGCAGCTTCCCTAGAGCAGGCTGCCCAGGTAGGTGTCCAGACGGGCCTTAAATATCTCCAGAGAAGCAGACTTCACAACCTCCCTGGGCAGCCTGTTCCAGTGCTCCGTCACCCTCACCGTGAAGAAGGTCTTCCGCATGTTGGTGCGGAACTTCCTGTGATCCATTTTTTGGCCACTGCCCCTTGTCCTGTCCCCACAAACCACTGAGAAGAGATTGGCCAAATCCCTCTGTCTCTCACACTTAAGGTATTTGTAAACATTGATAAGATCCCCTCTCAGTCTTCTTTTCTCCAGGCTGAACAGACCCAGGTCTCTCAGCCTTTCTTCATAGGGAAGATGCTCCAGGCCCTGTACCATCTTTGTGGCCCTCCACTGGACTCTTCCCAGGAGATCCCTGTCTTTTTTGTACTGGGGAGCCCAGAACTGGACACAATACTCCTGGTGAGGCCTGACCAGGTGTTTATGTGGCAAGGTTTTGGTAGCAGGGGGCCATAGGGGTTGCTTCTGTGAGAAGAATCTAGAAGCTGCCCCATGTTAGGTAAGGGCTCCACTGCTGACCAGAGCTGAGCCAGTAAGTGGTGTTGTTTGTGCCTCTGTGAGAGCAGATTTAAGACAGGGAAAAAAACAACACTGTGACACACAGCAGATGGGAGAGTGAGAAGAGTGAGAAACAGCCTTGCAGGTGCCAAGGTCAGTAAAGAAAGAGGGGGAGAGGTGCTCCAGGCGCCGGAGCAGAAGTCCCCTGCGGCCTGTGGTGAGGACCATGGTGAAGCAGGCTGTCCCCCTGCAGCCCATGGGGTACCACAGTGGAGCAGGGTTCCACACTGCATCCCGTGGAGGAGACCACAGTGGAGCAGGTGGACCTGCACTGACGGAGGCTGAGGCCTGTGGAAGACTCCTGCCGGAGCAGATTCCGGTCTGTATCTCTAGCCTGTGAAGAGGAGACCATGCAGGAGCAGGTGACTTCGCAGGAGCTGCTGCCCGTGGGGGATCCAGGCTGGAGCAGTTTGCTCCTGAGGGATGGACTAGTAGACAAGCTAGGTGCGTGTGTTGATCTGCTTGAGGGTAGGAAGGCTCTGCAGGAGGATCTGGATAGGCTGCACCGATGGGCTGAGGTCAACTGCATGAAGTTTAACAAGGCCAAGTGCCGGGTCCTGCACCTGGGGCGCAATAACCCCAAGCAGAGCTACAGGCTGGGAGATGAGTGGTTGGAAAGCTGCCTGGCAGAGAAGGACCTGGGAGTGATGGTTGATAGTCGGCTGAATATGAGCCAGCAGTGTGCTCAGGTGGCCAAGAAGGCCAACAGCATTCTAGCTTGTATCAGAAACAGTGTGACCAGCAGGTCTAGGGAGGTGATCGTCCCCCTGTACTCAGCTCTGGTGAGGCCGCACCTCGAGTACTGTGTTCAGTTTTGGGCTCCTCGCTACAAGAAGGACATGGAGGTGCTTGAGCGGGTCCAGAGAAGGGCGATGAAGCTGGTGAGGGGCCTGGAGAACAAGTCCTACGAGGAGCGGCTGAGGGAGCTGGGCTTGTTCAGCCTGGAGAAAAGGAGGCTCAGGGGCGACCTTATCGCTCTCTGCAGGTACCTTAAAGGAGGCTGTAGCGAGGTGGGGGTTGGTCTGTTCTCCCATGTGCCTGGTGACAGGACGAGGGGGAATGGGCTTAAGTTGCGCCAGGGGAGTTTTAGGTTGGATGTTAGGAAGAACTTCTTTACCGAAAGGGTTGTTAGACATTGGAATGGACTGCCCAGGGTAGTGGTGGAGTCACCATCCCTGGAAGTCTTTAAAAGACGTTTAGATGTAGAGCTTAGGGATATGGTTTAGTGGGACTGTTAGTGTTAGGTCAGAGGTTGGACTCGATGATCTTGAGATCTCTTCCAACCTAGAAATTCTGTGATTCTGTGATTCTGTAAAGTCAAGGTAGATGACATCCACTGCTCTCCCCCTGTCTACACAACTAGTGATGCCATCATAGAAGGCTATGAGATTGGTAATCATAGAATCATAGAAAGGCTTGGGTTAGAAAGGACTTTCAAGATAATCCAGTTCCAACCTCCCCCTGCAATGGGCAGGTATGCCACCCACTACATCAGGTTGGCCCAAGGCCTCATCCAACCTGGTCTTTAACACCTTCAGGGATTGGGCATACACAACTTCTCTGGGCAGTCTGTGCCTCACCACCCTCTGAGTGAAGAATTTCTTCCTAAAATCTAATCTAAATCTCCTGTCTTTTAGTTGAAAACCATCCCCCCTTGTCCTTTCATTGTCTGACTGAGCAAAAAGTTGTTCTCCATCTTTTTATAAGCCCCTTTAAGTATTGAAAAGATACAATAAGGTCACCCTAGAGCCTTCTCTTCTTCAGGCTGAACATCCCAAAAATCTCCTTCACATTTTTAGTATGAAAAATGTTTCCCTTAAATTGCATCTATATTCAGTTGTACATGTTTTATTAATACATTTCTTCCCCAGGTACATTATCAACTTAAGTTATCTGTTAACTTGTTTAACAGATAACTTAACAGATTACTGTTTTACAGATAACTTAACAGATAACTTCAACAGATCTGTTATCTTGTTTAATTTCAAACATTTGACAGCTCTCTATATCACTTTCAATGCCTCACACCTATAGCTCATTTCTCTTTATGTAGATCTTTTAAACAGAATTAATCCTAAAAATAAGAGAATATAGCTGTTAACCTCAAATACTCTCAAAAGCTCTTCCAGAAGAACTTGAAATGTTAGCACTTGGAAAATATTTCAATATAGGTTGAAATCCAAGTTGATGATGCCCTTTTAATACCTAGTATAGAAAATAAAAATTTGGAAGACTTTTAAAAAATACCGATTAACTAAAAGTGAACATCTAATTTAAGTGAAGACGGTACAGAAATTTAAAGCCAAGATAAACAATATCTGATTTGAAAAATGGTTTAAGATAATTTATCATTTTTATTTGTGTGCTTTTGGAGTGCTTGTGTTACAGTATTTATCCAGTTGAAGCTGCAGCCTAAAGGAATGGAAACACAGTCATGTAAAGTATGTAAATTTGAGATAGGTGTACTTACAACGTCTGTTCCGATTGGTGGTTGTTTGGATTGAACCTGTAAGATGGAAGCTGTTCTATGTCCGCCTTTGTCAGTCCTTGAGGTTTGGCTTCTCCTAGACGTTCTGCCAAATTCAGCAGTGCCTAAAACCCAAGAAAATTGGGCTTTTTAACATTCATTGCTCAAACAAGCTCCAGCTCTACCAGGATTGATTTTTTCTGCCTTGTCACTATCCCACCAGGTAGCACAATCCAACTCTCCATCAGGAGATATTTAGTCTTCTCTCTCTGCAACTGCACGCACTATGGAAATATGTCTTTTAAGTTTTGATCATTGATAAATCATTCTGAACTGCATACGATAGTATCTTTGGGATTTTCAAACATCCATTATACAACAGCATCTGCATTCACAGCTTGATACATGTTTTGCTTTGTAAGGGAACCCCACCACCACCCCAACTCCAGTAGTGTGAGTAACCAGAAAAAAAATGTCACCAAACTTGCTTTCTAGGAATACGAAATGAGCCTAGATCTATGTATGAAGCCAAGAGTTAAAAGGGACAACTTTTGACTCCCATTACACTTCTTGGGCTAGTTGAACTGAGACATGAAGAATTTATGTCGAACCTTTGGAAACAAGGGCATGACATCAAATGGAAAAGGAGACACTTCCTGATTAAATGTACTAATTTGTACAGGTAGAAAACTGTACCTAAGTGCTCCTCATGTAAATAATTTCTGCTCCCTCATGAGGGACTCCAGAAAAGCATCACTATCAATTTGATAGAGAACTGAAACACATAAGTTAAGATATTTGATGAAAGATGCAAAGAGTACAGATCACAGACAGAACTCAAATAGCCCAAAACCTGGAACCCAACATCTCAGCTACCAGATAATGCTTCTTTTTACTGGCACAAGAAACATTATAGGAGAGCTTGTCATTATATTGTAAATGCTATGCAACTGCATAAATACACAACTTTGAGAAGAAGCAAGGCAAAAGAGATATATGAGGAGGGGTAGGTGGCAGCTGAGGCTTTCTGAACAGAATATGTTGGCAGCCTGAGAAGCAGCAAGAAAAAGAGTTGGGAACAGATCTCAATTTTCTGACACCACTGATATTTTATTTCAAAATATGTCACTTGCTGTACTCTCCTTATTGTCAAAAGAAAATGTGTATTAAGAGATTCTTGTCAACATCACATTTAGCTGAATTCATCCTATAATGTTAACACTAATCTGTAAAGTTAGCAAGGCATGTAAAAAGCACTGTTATAATATATTCAAAAGAATAGGATATTTATGCTCGATATTTAAAAATCAAGTAAAATGCAAAAAGAAGAGTTGCATCTAGAATGGAAAATTGAGGAGTTCTACCTTTGCTAATCTGAAATAATAGATTCTGTGAAAAGTCAATAGATACAAAGTCACAGTATTTCTAACATCTAGTGTTAGAAACTAGTATGAAAAGAATGTTTTGGGCACTGGAACAGGCTCCCCAGGGAAGTTGTCACAGCAGCAAGACTGATGGAGTACAAGAAGTGTTTGGATTATGCTCTCAGACATACAGTTTAATTTTTAGGTAGTCCTGTGTAGAGCCAGGAGTTGGATTCAATGATTCTTGTGGGTCCCTTCCAACTCAGGATATTCTACATGTATGATTCTATGTTTCTAGATTCTGTCTCCATAAATATTACATTTATTTAATCCTGGGTTAGTCTTTGAAAAGCAAAAGGCCACTTAACTTCATGTACTGAGTTAATCTCTGTTTCTCGTGAATTTTTACTTCACACACCAACCTCATAGTTTTCCACTTCTCCATCTTCCACATCCAACTCAAAACTGAAAGCTGGTCCAACTGCAGGTGGCACTGGAAGCACTGATCTGCCAGAAGAACAAACAGTAAGACTCAACTTGCTGAATGAAAGCATGCAGAGGTAGAATTATGTTACTGAACCTTCTTAAATCAACAAATTCTAAGGATCAGTAACAATGTTAAACTTGTGATTAAGAATTAAAATTCAAAGTAAAGGAGTAAAAAGAAAGCTAATTATTCCACTTTTTGATACTTGTATTATATTTTAAATTGCATGTTTATTGCAATGACAACTCATACTTCCAATAAGGCTCAGTGTTATTACAGAAACTAATCTCTTGATAGCCTGCATCACAGAGTTAATATTAATATTGAACAGAGTTTCTTGTTTTATATTTTACTCATTTAAATATATAGAATATAAGAAAGATAACCCAGTTTCACCTAGCTCCCTGATACAAAAGAATTCAAGCACTCTAATACACATAATGAAGATAATTACATTATACTGCTGGGCCTTCTTCCACATTGACAACTTTCCAACTTCCACATTGACAGTAGAATCAAGTATACAATTCCCAAATAACATGGATTTGGTCAGAGAATAACCTCTTCAGATATAAAGGCAAAAGACAACATTTTTTCTGTTTGTTTGTTTGTTTTGTTTTGTTTTGTTAAAAAAAGCATCTTCATCCCGAGACAGTAATATGGGTCAAAGTTTAATGAGCATCCATAGAAATAAAATATCCTCAGCACTATAAATGTCATCTAATTAATCATGAATGATTGTGATACACTGTGCTTGAATAGACAGGCAAGTATCTATAACATCAGAGCAGGCTTTGTCAGAATGCACAATGCAAAGTTTAACAACTTCACTGAATCATAAATCCTGGTGCTATATTGATGCAAGTCAAACTGTGGACTCAGACACTATTGATGTTGTTGCAAAACAACAAATGACAAAGTTGGATTATCTCCCTGTCAATGCCACCTTTAGAATAAATCCTCATTTTCCAAGCATGTTGTATTCATTTCAAAAACCAAACCTACAAAGAACAATAAATCCTATGTCACACATCTAAACTACAGGAGATGGGATCTACTTTAAAAGGTTACTGACAATCCCTTAATGTTACTTCTCCCACCCCTTCTTTTCCAGAAATCATTAATCAGGTGCAGAAGTTCAAAAGCTGTAAAAGATTAGTCACTCAGAAGAAAAAAACAAAACAAAACAAAGCACCCGCACCCAGAAGGTTCCCCTCATTAAGTTTTAGCAATTATTTAAGAGTAAATTTATTTGCTTGGTGTTTTTTATTTGTTTGTTTGTTTGTTTTTCTTTGTAAGCACTGTTAGATCTTTATCCTACATAAGTAGGCTTTAGTATGTAACTATGGGCATAACCCATAGCGATCAGCCAAGAATCAAGTGTAACCATTCTACATTGAACATCTTTAAGGAGATTTCAACAGAAAGAAGAAACATATTAGAACCCAAGAGTATACTATCTTTAAACTCTTCACTTGTACTTGTTTTTAACTTGTTCAGGTGTGTATGCTGTTCAAATAGACTGAAAAATTCAAATATAACTACAGGTTTTCTTCCTCCTTGGGTTTGGCTAAACAGTCTCTACTCTGTGAAAGAGCCCAAACATTAAAAAAAAAAAAAAGAAAAAAAAAAGAAAAGAAACACATTGAGGGGATCAGCTAGCTTACGGAGTTATTTAGTAGTCTACAAGTATAATGTACATATGTGACTTACAGCACATATGGTAATAGGCTGGAATGGTATGGATGTGGTGGTATTGTTTGCTGTGATTGGTATCTACTGCGTCCTGTGAGTCTTCGAGGCATAAAAGGTGTGTAAGGCTGTAAAAAGGGAGAAAAACTTCAATATTTTATTGTCTTATTTAATAATGAAATTAAATGAAATGTGAATGTTGAAATACTTTTTTAAATAAGGCATAATCCAAAAAAAATCTAAACAAATCCAAGCCAAAACACATCAGCCTCTCTGAAAAATTGTTTTGACCAGAAAATCTCATCAGTAATATACAATTATGCCATCCTGCAGGAAAAAAAAACAAACATAACAATGCTCATCAGAAAATCTTGCAAGCTAACTAATAAGCATTTTATAAGGCTTAGCTTATATGTAGCCTGGTTTGGACAGACAGGACTTGAATTGGTGACCATGTTGCAAATCAAGAGCCCAAGACTTTCGACCTGATGCTATGTACAGACTTGTGTAGAAATGAGTTTTTTTAAACAACGTACATGTATATACAGGTTGGTTTTTTTTTTTTGGTATAAGCCAAATATCCATTGGGGGCGGTATTGAGTTTACCTAGCAACGATTGGGTTTATCTAGCAAGGTCTTAGTAGCTGTAGGGGTGGCCTCTGTGAGAACAGTCCAGAAGAGCCAGTTTCAGCCAGATCCAAAAGGGCCCCACCACTGGCCAATGCTGTTTTCGCCTCCATGATAGCATATTTAAGAAAGGGAAAAAAACTGCTGCACAACAGCAGCTGGGAGAGAAGAGTGAGAAAATGTTGAGAGAAATAATTCTGCAGACACCAAGATCACTGAAGAAGAAGGGGGAGGAAGCAGAAGTTCCCATGCAGCCCGTGGAGAAGACCATGATGGAGCAGGCTGTCTCCCTGCAGTCCATGGTGCCCCACTCTGGAGCTGGGGAAGAGAGTGAGGATGAAGGTGTGGTAGTAACAAAGCCTTATGGAATAACCATAACCCCCATTTCCCTGTATTGCTCAGGGGGAGGAGGTAGAAGAGGGTGGATGGTGGGGAAGGTATTTTTAGTTTGCTTTTAATTCTCACTGCTCCAGTTTCTTGTTAATTGGCAATAAATTACATTAATCTGTAATTAATCTGTTTCCCTGTGATGGTAATTGGTGATGGTAATTACCTGTGATGGTAATTGGTTGAGATAACTGTCCTTATCTCAACTCCTGAGCACTTTTTATCATATTTTTTCACCCTGTCTTACTGAGGAGGGGGAGTAAGAGAGCAGCAAGGTTGTTCTCAGCTACCCATCATTGTTAAACCACAACGGGGGTGCTGCCAGAATGCTCCACAGTAAAACCTTCATGTTAAATAAAGAGAAAGGTATGAAATGAATAAATAAATAAATCATATTCAGAGCTGTGCTCAGTTACTCTCAGGAGAAGGGGTTGTAGCCTTTCAATATTTTAAAGAATACAAGTTGTGTATCTAAATAGCATCTAAATAGACATTCAAGTTTCAACACATTCTTTCCATAAGAGAAAAAGACACCACTTTCCTATGTTTTGATTTTCATGCAAAGCTCTTCAATTTACTTACATAAGATCTCAGCCTGCTAAAATGGAGGCATGTGAAGAATTGTAACACAGATATAAATTGTATTTTTAATACATATTTAATAGTGAAAAAAAAAGATAGCTTAATTTTAGAACCAAAATTCATGCACTACTACAATGATATTCAGAGGCCTTGATGCATTTACTTTTACGAAAAAGGATTGATCAAAGATACATAGAGTCATAGAATGGTTTGGGTTGAAGGGACCTTAAAGATCATCTAGTTCTAACCCCCCTGCCATTGGCAGGGACACCTCCCACTAGACCAGGTTGCTCAAAGCCCCATCCAACGTGGCCTCGAACACTTCCAGGAAGGGGGCATCCACAGCTTCTCTGGGAAACCTGTTCCAGTGCCCCACCACCCTCAGAGTAAAGAATTTCTTCCTAATGTCTAATCCAACACTTTTTTAATTAAATCCATTCCCCCTTGTCCTATCACTACACTTCCCGACAGAGTCCCTTCACAGCTTTCCTGTAGGCCCCCTGGAAGGCTGCTATAAGGTCTCCCTGGAGCCTTCTCTTCTCCAGGCTGAACAACCCCAATTCCCTCAGCCTCTCCTCATAGGAGAGGTGCTCCAACCCCTTGATCATCTTCATTGTCCTCCTCTGGACTCATTCTAATACACCTATGTCCTTCTTGTGCTGGGGGCCCCAGAGCTGAACACAGTACTCCAGATGGGGTCTCATGAGGGCAGACTAGAGAGGGAGAATCACCTCCCTAGACCTGCTGGCCACACTTCTTTTGATGCAGCCCAGGACATGGTTAGCTTTCTGGGCTGCAAGTGCACATTGCCAGCTCATGTTGAGCTTTTCATCCACCAGTACTCCCAGGTCCTCCTCAGGGCTGCTCTCAACCCATTCTCTGCCCAGTCTGTATTTGTGCTTGAGATTGCTCTATTGTGTTTATGTAGCAAGGTAGCAGGAGGGCTGCAGGGGTGGCCTCTGTGAGAAAAATCTTGCAGCTGTCCCATGTTAGAGAAGAGACACTTCCAGCCAGATCTAAAAGGGACACATCGCTGGACAGAGCCGAGCCAATAAATGTTGTTTGCACCTCTGTGAGAGCATCCTTAAGAAAGGGGAAAAAACTGCTGCTCCACAACAGCTGGGAGAGAGAGAGGAGTGAGAAACAGCCCAGCAGACACCAAGGTCAGTGAAGAAGGAGGGGGAGGAGGTGCTCCAGGTGCCGAAGCAGAATTTCTCCTGTGGCCATTAGAGAGGACCATGGTGGAGTAGGTTGTCCCCCTGCAGCCCATGGTGTACCACAGTGGAGCAGATTTCCACGCTGCAGCCTGTGGAGGAGCCCACAGTGGAGTAAGTGGATCTGCCCTGAAGGAGACTCCAGCCTGTAGAGAACCCCTGCTGGATCAGACTCCAGGCTGGACCTGTAGCCTGTGGAAAGGAGACCACGCAGGAGCAGGTGACCTGGCAGGAGCTGCTGCCCGCAGGGGATCCATGTTGGAGCAGTGTGCTTCTGACAGATGGACCCCGTGGTATGGACCCATATTTGAAGCAGTCTTGAAAAGCTGCTGCCTGTGGGCAGCCCACTCAGGATCAGTTTGGGAAGGACTGCATCCCATGGGAGGGACCCCACATGGGAGCAGGGGAAGAGAGTGACCATGAAGGAGCCGTGGAGACGAAGTGTTACGGACTGAACGCAACCCTCATTTCCCGTTCCCTTGTGCCACTCGGGGGGAGGAGGCGGAAGAGGGTGGATGGGGGGAGGTGTTTTTGGTTTCTTTCCTTTGTTTCTCACTTCTCTAGCTTGTTAGTAATAGGTAATAAATTTCTTTAATCTCCCTATGCTGAGTCTGTTTAGCCTGTGATGATAATTTTTAAGTGATCTCCCTGTCTTTATCTCAACCCTTGAGCTCTTCTCATTATATTTTCTCTCCCTTTCCCTTTAAGGAAGGGGAGTGAGAAAGAGGTTCTGGTGGAGCTCAGCTGCCCAGCTGGGTAAAACCACCACAACATCACATCAGGTCCCATGTAATTATGCACCTTCACATTCCTTAGATGGTCTTGAACCTGATCTTCTCCTTCAGTGGACAGTTCATCATTGTAGTACTCCAGTACTATATTTTGTTTTCTTTTAGATTTTGTTAGCATGTTTTCATTCTTCCAAGTTTGAGGCTTCAGGATATGTAAAGTAAGTCTAACTTAAAAATCGACTACCCTGACTTTCCACAGCTGCAGCCAGTACTTAATTACAAAAATACCATTTCTTAATAAAATGGCTATAGCTTAGAGCAAAGATCAGTAACCTGAAATCAGCATGCCTGAAAATGTAGTACAAAAAAGCAATACTTACAACTCCAAATGAAACTTCTTGGTGTAAAGGATCATGGGATAAGAATTGGAAAGGAGCTGAGGAAGTCAGTGTTGGTGGATGAGTTGATGGAGGGTAGGGAAAGCTTCCTATAGGAAGATGGTCTCCAAACAGTTCTACTTCATTGTCTATCCTTTGAAGTGGCTAAAAGAAACACAAGGTTTGTTCTATTTATTTTTTTTTAATACCAAAAAAACCCACAATCTAATTATATGTTATGAGGAGTTGTGGAAATTTTAGTGGAGTTTTATTGGGTATATGTGGCAAGATTTTGCTAGTGGTGGTGGTGGCTGCAGGGATAGTCTCTGTGGGAAGAGGTCATGAACTGCCCTGTGCCAGACACAGCCAGTTCTATCTGGCTTGGCAATTCACCAAAACTGAGCCAATCAGTGAAGCTTCTGTGAAAACCAATTTAAGAAAAGGGAAACAAAATCTGGATGGAGAGTAGGAGGGAACAAAAAAGAGTGAAAATCAGCAGAGGTAACACCAAGGTTAGACAAGGAGGGGGAGGAGGTGCTCCATGAAACCAGGGCAAATATTCCCTACAGCCCATGGAGGACCCATATTGGAACAGATCGATATTTCCTGAAGGAACTGCTGCCTGTGGAGAATCCATGCCAGGGCAGATTTTCCTGGTAGGACTGCAGCCCATGGAAAAACCCACACTGGAGCAGAGGAAAGATGTGAAAAAGGTGCGGCAGAAAGTGACTGTTGTGTGCTGACACATACACACACCAAACCCCTTTTTGCTGTTCCTCCCTTGTTGCTAGTGTCAGAGATTCCTGAGGGCTGGTCTAAGCACTGAAGACTGAGGCAAAGAAGGCATTCAGTAATTCTGCCTTCTCTGTATCCTTTGTCAACAGGGCATCCACCTCATTAAGCAGTGGGCTCACATTCCTTAGTCTTCCTTCTGTTATTGCTATATTTGAAAAAACCCTTCTTGTCCTTGACATTCCTTGCCAGATTTAATTCCAGATGGGCCTTGGCCTTCCTTGTCACATCCCTACATCCTTTGACAACATCCCTATATTCTTTCCAAGTAGCCTGTCCCCTTTTCCACATTCCATATACTTCCTTCTTCCATTTGAGTCCTTCCAGGAGCTCCTTGCTCATCCAAGCAGGTCTCCTGCCCCCTTTGCTTGCCTTCTTACTCATAGGAATACATAGATCTTGAACTTGGAGAAAGTGATGCTTGAATACTGAGCAGCTCTCTTGGACCTCCTTTCCTTCTAGGGCTGTGACCCATGGGATTCCTCCAAGTAGGTCCCTGAAGAGGCCAAAGTTTGCTTTCCTGAAGTCCAGGGCTGAAATCCTACTTCTTGCCCTGCTTCCTCCTTGCAAGATCCTGAACTCCACCATCTCACGGTCACTGAAGCCAAGGCTGCTCCCAACCTTCAAATCTCCAACCAGCCCTTCTCTGTTTGTAAGTACAAGGTCCAGCAGCAGCACACCTCTCCTCGTTGTCTCCTTGACTACCTGCATCAAAAAGTTATCATCAGTGCTCTGCAGGAACCCCCTGGACTGTTTGTGCCTAGCTGTATGGTCTTTCCAGCAGATATCAGGGTGGTTGAAATCCCCCATGAGAACCAAGGCCTGTGATTGTGAGGCTATTTCCAACTGTTTGTAGAACCTCATCTACCTCCTCTTCCTGATCAGGCAGCCTGTAGCAAGCTCCCACAACAGTATCAGCCATGATAGCCTGCCCTTTAATCCTTACCCATAAGCTCTCAACTTGCTCTTCATCCACCCCTAGGCAGAGCTCGATGCATTCCAGTTGCTTTCTCACATAAAGTACAACTCCACCACCTCACCTTCCTGTCCTGTCTTTCCAAAAAAGCACAGAGCCCTCCATGACAGCATTCCAATCATGTGAGTTATCCCACCATGTTTCTGTAATTGCAATGAGATCATAGCCTTGCGACCTCACACAGATCTCCAGTTCATCCTGTTTATTTCCTGTGCTACGTACACTGCTATAAAAGCATTTCAGGGAGGTGATCGAGCCTATAGGTTTCCCAGGAGGGGTATGCGAGGATCCTTCATAGGCATGTCCTGCACTCACTTCCCCAGCTGCATGCACCCACTGGAGGCATCCTGACTTCAGCCACTTATTGCTACCTACCCTGTATCTGTAATTCTCCCCTTCCCCCATCTGTCCTAGTTTAAAGCTCTCCTTACCAGGTTGCCCAACCTGTTTGCAAAGACACATGTGCCCCTCCTAGTGAGGTGGATCCCTTCTCTCCCCATCAGTTCTTGATCTTCAGCAGGGTTCTATGGTCGTAGAAGCCAAATCCTTGTTCCAAACACTAGTGGTGCAGCCAGTCGTTAACTTGGAATATCCGTCTCCTCCTCCCATCCTTCCCCCTTGTTGGAAGTATTGAAGAAAAAAATGACCTGGGCTCCCAGGCCCTTGACCACCATGCCCAGAGCTCTAAAGTACTTCTTGATGGTTTCTAATGTACCCTTGGTGCCGTTAGCACCCACACAGAAAAGCAGCAGAGGGTAATAGTTTGACTCATGGACAAGCTTTGGTAGCCTTTCCATGACGTCTCTTATCCGAGCCCCTGGCAGGCAACAAACCTCTCTAGACACGAGGTCAGGGCAGCAGATGGGTGCCTCCATACCTTTCAGCAGAGAGTCACCCACAACAATCATCCGCTGCTTCTTCCAGGTATTCCTGTTAGGCCCAGTTGCTTCCCCTGAAGTCTTGTCCAGCTCATCCTCAGCCTAGAGGGCACTGAACCTGTTCCTTGGTGGCAAGGCTTCAGAAGGAGTAACGACCTTTCTCCTCCTATGAAAAGTGATCAGCTTCCAGCCCTCTTCTATAGTATTATGATGTACCACTTCATGTGGAACGGAGTCCTCCGACAACTCCCCTGCTATATGGGGTTGGGACTCCTGGAGCTGTATGGTCTCCATGAACACCCTGTCTATCTCCTGCTCATCTTCTTAGACACTTCGCAACCTGCTGACTTCCTCTTGTAACTCCCTTACCTGATGACACAGCTTGTGGACAACAGCAAACCTTCTACAGGAGAGCTGACTGTCAGTCCAGGACTCCCGCAGGCAGCCTGAAACCTGAAGAGATGCATCTGCCATCAGAGGGTCTGTCTGGGTCAACACTTCTGCCACAGCTGATGCAGTGACTCCGGCAAGTATCAGGGAATATGCTCTGCAGCGTCATGACCATCTCTGAAGTTGCAGATGCTACTAGGATTGGAAACAAAGGTGCCTTCTTGCACCCTTCTGTGCAGATTGCTGCATCTGTTTGCTGCCTTTGTTAGCTGTGCCCTTGGCCCGTACAGATCCGGATACGGGGGGTCAAGGTGTACCGACACCTCGAAGGGGTGTCGTTACTGCTGCCTGCCCACGCCTCGTCAGACGCTCTCGCATGATGAGCTGCCGGCCCCTGTTGGGTCTCTGTGCTCCTCTGGGGCTTCCTCGGTTCAGGAAAGGCCCCTGTACATCGTGATTCCCCGCTTTGCTGCAGAATGTACCCACCCGGAACTGATCGCTTCGGTGAGAGGCGATCATTTTTCACAGAAAACTAAACTCTGCTATTTCACTTATTTACCTTTTCCTGGTACTGAATTCCACATGCTTTAAAACATTCAGATATAAAAGTAATCTGTGGAAGCAAAGGAAAAGGAAAATTGTTTCCCCATTCTGCTGAACAAACTACATAGTCAGCATTATTAAGGGAATAATTCTTCTAGTAAGATTTGACAGCAAAAAATCAAGCTAAAAGTTAAAAAAGGAAGTCTGCTTCTTAAGTTAAATTAGCAATATAAGTTAAGAAAGAAGCTCTGACATTTTCTGGGGAAAGACTTATCCTGATTGCCAGAGACTATGCAGAACCGTTCCCCCAATGACTATAATGAAATTATTACAATAGTACCAGTACATGAAATTTGACATACAGCATTTGTTACTGATCAGTCTGAGGAGTATTGTTAATACTGAAGTTATTTTGTAATTATATATGAATGAAATACTGCTAGAGCTCTGAAGAAACAGGCAGAAGGGTGTAGGTAACCTCTGGCAGAAGATCAGTAAGCAGAAATTACAAAATGTAATTTTTTCCCTCATGTCCAAAATAGCATCTACTCGTATGTTTGCATATGCTCTATTATGGAGACTTTAGCTGTTCAGCCAAGTTTCGTTAAGTGAAAAGAGTCAATAACTTCCATAAGTAGGGGAGAAAAAAAGAGGTTCCAGATAGACCATAGAAGGTTTAAGTAATACTTTTCTCACTGGTGTTCAGGGCGGGGGTGGTGGTGGTGGCGGTGGCTTGGGTTGGGTTGGTTGGTGTTATAGTGGTCACTTTAGATCGACTGTGAATAACGTGATAAAAGCATGCAATAGGAATAGTGCCTTGTGTTTCTGGGCTCCCTACAAAGTTTTTTCTCTGACACTACTGCTGTACTACATTTCAGTGATCTCTATATTTTTCTTTAACTTCCTGGAAGAACACCACTTTCAGGAGCAGTACATGAAGCAAACTTACGTCAGACAGGAGTACAGGCCTCTGGGGAAACTGAGTGGACAACAGCTGAGGAAATCTTAAGAGAATCAAAATGAATTTCAAAACAAGTCTCGCTGTCCTGGTTTCAGTTAGGATAGAGTTAATTTTCCTCCTAGTAGCTGGTAGACTGCTATGTTTTGGATTAGGATGAGAAGAGTGCTGATAACATGCTGATGTTTTAATTGTTGCAGAGCAGTGCTTACACTAAGCCAAGGACTTTTCAGCTCCTCACTCTGTCCTGCCAGTGGGCAGACCAGGGGTGCAGCAGGAGCTGGGAGGGGACAGACCCAAGACAGCTGACCCAAAGTGCCCAAAGAGGTATTCCATTCCATCTGATGTCATGCTGAACAATATATAGGGGTGGCTAGCCAGGATGGGGGGATCGGCTGCTCGGGGATCGGCTGTGCATCGGTCAGCAGGTGGTGAGCAATTGCATTGTGCATCCCTTGTTTCATACACATTATTATTAGTAGTACTATTATTATTATTATTGTTATTATTATTTTCCTGTCTGAATAAACTGTCTTTATCTCAACTCACAAGCTTCACTTTCCCATTTCTCTCCCCCATCCCAGAGAGGGAGGGGGGAGGGTGAGCGAACGGCTGTGTGGTGTTTAGCTGCCGGCCAGGTTAAACCACAACACTTGCTCAAGTAGCACTATTACAAAACCCTATTATTTTAAGTCAGATCCATTTGCTCTCTCAACCAGAATGCTATTGATTAGAAGGAAAAGAGCATCATTTGCTGATCAAGACCTAATTCTTTTAGGAGAGGATATAAGAAGCATTACTTACCAAAAGTGGCTGCTGTGCTTGGAAGGGAACAAATTGCCCTGGAGGTGTCAGATGAGATGGGTGATGCGGAGAGAGGTGAGAAGGATGCAAAAGGAATGGATCATTAGAAATCAGAGGTGGGAATGCTGCATACGATACTGGTAGATGTTGGACTGAGCATGCCTGAAGCATCTGAAAGAAAATTAATGTTTTTACATCTACTGTGAAAATTCCTATAGAACATTCTTTGTTTATTAAGGAGATTATTAAAAGAAAACAGACCACTTACCCCTGGCTTTCAAACACAACCCAAACAATAATTCATTCAAAAACTCAATGAACAGTGACTCTAGTAGAGGACAGGGTCTAAAAGTGTGTTGCTACCAGCTACGTTTTTAAGATACAAAAAGCCTTTTACTTCAGATGAAGTCAATAGGAGTTGGGGGTGTTCACTCTGCATTATCAGGTGTAGACTCCCAAGGGGGAAGTAGGTTTACTTACCATAGTAGCTTCTATTCTTTCCATATATTACTTTTATAGACACATACCAAGAAAACAAGCATGAACTATTTTAAGCACTAGTTGGAACTGAAGGACTCTTAGATGTCAGATTGTGCCCTAAAACATCTCTATTGCCTGAAATTATAACTAGCCTTAAAAATTCTGCTCGATTCCATGCTTTGAGAGGACTATTCTTTCCTCCTACTCATGAAGGCACCACCCAGAGCTGGAGTTTCCAATAAAAGCAGACCCTCTCTCCTTTCTGAAGTTACATATCCAAAAGATATTGTGGATCACTCAAGTTTTAACTCAGGAGTTGAGAGAGGGAGTTCGGAGAATCATCAAGTAGCGATAGAGCGCTGACAGCAGGATGCTACTTAGTGTCTTTGCTAACTATGGTGCATTGTGCAAATTAACTAAAGCAAGAAGCCTTGGGCCCCTTACCAAGGTCAGTCTCCTAATAAGAGTGTGAGCCTATCTTAAGAAGCTGGCAGAAACTGGTCCTGCGGATGGACAAGAGCCAAGGAGCAACTGAGTCTGCACAAAGACAAGAGGTCAACTAGCAGTGACGAGGAAGAGTCATCTACCTTTATCCCTACGACCCCCGACGACCACCACCAGAATACACTGTGCAAGTGCAGATGAGAGGAGTTTATGGAAATGACTCCTTGGAACTAATTTTAATATGAAGCGGGGACAGGTCATGAATATGTATAGGCATATTGTGAAACTTCATGCATATGTAACTCCTTACTGCATAGAACCAAGGCAAGTTGCACGACTTTGGCGGGACTACCCCCCCGTGCTGCCCAGTGCTGAATAAGCATACCTACTTTACAGTCTTACTGATTGTGGAGTCCATTTTCCGCAAGTCAGAGTCAAGGTGGTGGTAGGGGCTTCATGGAAGTACTCAGTTTCACTCCCAGGTCTACACATACAGAAATTAGACCCCAAATTTGCATTCTTTCAACTGCTTTTTAATCAGGCATTCCTTTTATGTTTCTGACCATTAAAAGTACAACTCAAAATGGGCTTTTAAAAAATAAGCGTCAGTTCTCTTATGTAAACAAAGATGTTTATTAGATACAGTTTTCAAACATTAAACTTCACTGCCCCACTTCCAACCTCATTTACTGTGGTGATGACCCCAAATTGATATTTACACCCAGATGATCTAAATACTAATTTACCTCAAATGATCCTCTGAAATAAATAATAAATATGCAGGTATAATGGAACATAGCATTCTATAAAACACGTAGGAGGTACTTTTGGAAATATTAAAAGACAGTTCATCAGTTTATATAAAAACCAAGACTAAATAAAAATCATTATAGCCTCAACTATAAGCTAAGGGTATTGCATAAAGATTATCAAGTGACATTCTATAATGCATGTTATACATGAGGTTAGAGTATATGTTAAAGGTCCTTCAGGCTTTCAAATCTATTGCCTTAATCCATGGTTATTCAACACCGAAGAAAGAATCTATTCCCCAACCAATATTACAATGAGAGGACCTGTCAAACAAGTCTCCATTTTATGTTATATTCTGAAAAAAAAAATCATTATTTTTATGTAAAACTAGAATGTACATTGATATATAGTACAAAAAATAAGCAACAATTATAGAAAATCTTTTCAGAAGTTTATTGAAAAGTTTTCATTTTACAGGCTGATTTTTCCAGACCATGTCACAAAGGGAGACAGAGGGAGCAATAGAAAACATGAGAAAAAGAGAATGAGAGGAAGAAAACATGAAAAAGAAAAACCAAGATCACTAGGAGGTAGAGGGAGAGGGAGAGGGAGAGGGAGAGGGAGAGGGAGGAGCAAAGAAAGGGGGGAAGCAAGAGGGAGATAAGTAAGGGGTGAGGGGGGGAGAGCAGGAGCGGAGGAGGGAGAGCAAGAGACAAGGAGAGAGAGGGCAAGTATGGATGAGAAAGGGAGAAGGGGGGGTGAGCTCTTGCGAGGAAAAGACAGAGAGGGTTGAGGAAAGGGTGTGGGAGGAGCTGAAAAAGAGCAAGAATGAGAGACTCTCATTCAGTGCAGTCAAAGGAGGGTGATACAGAGGTGGTGTGCACAAGAGAGGGAGCAGAAGGTGGCTGGCAAGAGAGAGCAAGAAAGGGCGTGCATGACAGAAAGAGCAGCAGGGCAGCATGGAGAGGCATAGAATGACGAGCATGGACAAGAAAGCCATGGGGAAGTTGTGTGCACAGAGAGGAAGACAGGCAGTACTGTGTTGGGCCTGTCTGAGCAGCCCGCACAGTGCTGTACTCTGCACTCGTAGCTGGAACAGCACTGATATCACTCCAGTGTTGTGTCTATTGCTGCGTAGTGCTGGCACAGCATCAGGACTCCTTCCAAGCCCCCAAAAGCCAGCAGGCTGGGGGTGGGCAAGTGATGGGGAGGGGACATCGCCAGGGCAGCTGACCTAAACCAACCAAAGGGATATTCCATAACACCTGATGTCACACTCAGCAATAAAAGGGGGGGCTCTCGTGGGGGAGGGGGCTGTTCCTCCTGAACAACCGCTACGCGTTTGAGGCCCTGCTTCCCAGGACGTGGCCGAACACCGCTCGCTGATGGGAAGTAGAGAATAATTTTTTCTCTCTCTGTGCTTCCACGCGGACTGATTGTTTCTTTTGTTTCTGTTTTTCCTCCCCATTCCCTTTCCCTTTAATTAAACCTTTCTCATCTCAAACCTCGAGTTCTCTGTGTTGTATTTTCTCCCCCTTCCTTTTGAGGAGAGGGGGAGTGAGAGAGCGGTTGTGGTGGAGCTCGGCTGCTCACTCGAGCGGAACCACGGCATCAGTGAAAACTGATACATTTGTAACTCAAGTGAAAAATCTAGACTCTAATAGAAAAAAGTGAGTTAACAATCTGTCAGTGTATGGCTGGCACAGTTCTGAAGGTCTCTGCATCCCACATTTGAAATGTGACACTTCTGTGAGAAACACCTTGGGGCCAATCACATAGGTTAAGGTAAGGATCTCAGTGAAGTAGCATTTTTTTATTTTCGCGATTGCAATGGCGGGCATCCTACAAGCAGGAGCACGCCTACTAGTTACATAGCACAGTTTATATACTTTATTTCCTCGACGACCAGGACCCTCCCCTGTTTCCCCATTTCCCCATTGTCCAGGTTCACAACCTATCTGATGCTTTACAGATAATACTTGCAAAAACATTTTTATTCCCACACTTCTGCTTCTGAAGTTAATTCAGTTTACAATAATGGTATGGTAATAATGTATTTTCCTTCACTGCATATGAAGTACATTCCTTAAAGTGCTTTCTTTATGTAGTTGTCTGTCGTGGTTTAGCCCGGCCGGCAGCTAAACACCACACAGCCGTTCGCTCACCCTCCCCCCTCCCTCTCTGGGACGGGGGAGAGAAATGGAAAGTGAAGCCCGTGAGTTGAGATAAAGACAGTTTAATAAGACAGGAAAACAATAATAACAATAATAATAAAATAATAATAATAATAATACAATGGTGATAATAGTACTACTAATAATAATATGTATAAACAAGTGATGCACAATGCAATTGCTCACCACCCGCTGACCGATGCCCAGCCTCACCCCGAGCAGTCCGGCCCCCTCCCCCCAGTTAGCCACCCCTATATATTGTTTAGCATGACGTCAGATGGTATGGAATACCCCTTTGGCTAGTTTGGGTCACCTGTCCCGGGTCTGTCCCCTCCCAGCTCCTGCTGCACCCCCAGCCTGCTCGTTGGCAGGACAGAGCAAGAAACTGAGATGTCCTTGGCTTAGTATAAGCACTGCTCTGCAACAATTAAAACATCGGGGTGTTATCAGCACTCTTCTCATCCTAAGCCAAAACACAGCATTCCACCAGCTACTAGGAAGAAAATTAATTCTGTTCTAACTGAAACCAGGACACCTATCCACCCCTTATTCCATACCATTTATGTCATGCTCAGGTAGCACTCTTTTCCATACATTCTAATTAGTCACCAATAGTAGTCATGGTAGTGATAACATACAGTATTATATAATAATTAACATGGTACAATTCAGTTCATGGGCTATTCTCACCCAGTATTAAATCTCCTTGAGGTATACACCGGACCTCTCCGTTCTTTTGCATCACCCACCAAGTATATCCAGGTCCCTGAGCGAAAACAATTCCACTAATAGGTTTGCCTTTTCCTGAGGCAGGAGTAGCCCAGACTGTTTTACCCAGCATATTTCTTACATGCACTACAGGAACTTTATCCCCATCTACAGTACGTAACAGGTTTGATTGGGCAGGTCCAGCTCGGTTGGCAGATCCCCTAGTATTGACTAACCAGGTGGCCTTTGCCAAATGCGTATCCCCATTTCTGAATGTCCCAGCGCCCATTGCTTTCAATGTAGTCTTTAACAGTCCATTGTATCGTTCAACTTTCCCGGAGGCTGGTGCATGATAGGGGATGTGATACACCCATTCAATACCATGCTCTTTGGCCCAAGTGTCTATAAGGTTGTTTCGGAAGTGAGTCCCATTGTCTGACTCTATTCTTTCTGGGGTGCCATGTCGCCATAGGACTTGCTTTTCAAGGCCCAGGATAGTGTTCCGGGCGGTGGCATGAGGCACAGGATATGTTTCCAGCCATCCGGTGGTTGCTTCCACCATTGTAAGTACGTGGCGCTTGCCATTGCGAGTTTGAGGGAGTGTGATGTAAT